TTTAAGTGTGGCGTCCAAACAGCTATATCCAGCGCATCCTCTGCTGTTAGTGGGGTGTCATCTCTGAAATTGCACATGCGGCAAGCTGAGTATGACATAAAAAAATTGCAGGAAAGGCTAAGCAAACAACAGATATTGCCGTTAGAGCTTTTGCAGAGGAACATGGGTCCTAGTTTACAAAATTCGAGGAATTTGTCCATGCTACCTTCACCTTACCTCCGACGGAGAAAGGCCTACCAACACCAACTACTCCCGGTACTGCCCTGTCCTCAACCCATGGCAATTCAGTTACACCGACTCGAATCAATCTAAGTATTTCGATTTCCAATGAACAGGCGTAAGATCTAAGTCTTTCACGTAACATGACAACATCGTTGGAAGTTGCTTTAACATCTGTAACTAGTGATGATTCAAACAAATTTAAGTAAACCGCATCACCAAAATTCAACTCGGTCGTCACAACTTTCATCCAGCTCAACTTCACCAGCCATCCCATCCTGTTCGATAAACCCTCATGTGGTCAACCCTGAGAAAGTATCTAGGGGTTTCGTAGCTGTTTCCCGGCATACAATTACTGGCCTTTTTCTTAGCGGTATGTCGACGGAATCGTGTTCAGCGAATGATATCATATTTTACCTACAACATCGCGAGGTCAATGCCACATTTGCTCGCCTCCTTAGGAGCAAACGGAATCTTTGCGTCTCTGCACGGGTTTAAGTCATTTCATCTGATATCTCCGAAACGAAAGAGGAAAACTTCTGGCCAAAAGGTATCCGATGCCGGAAATGGGTCTCTAATAACCGGTTCTACGGTAACGATAATGCCCCTAAGCTCGATGCTTGGACCGAATAGATTTTCCGTTCTTCTGTTATTGCATATCTTTCTCCTTGTTATGTCCAACATTCGCTTCATGCCATGGAACGTAGCTGACCTAATGTCGGCTGCCTCTCATATTCACGAAGCCTTAAACAGGGAACGCGTTGACATTGCGGTATAGCGGAACACTGGCTTTTCGAAGAAAATCAACATCTATTCAAGAGAATTCACCAGAACTGTAACTCCTTAGAAATTACAAACTTTTCCTTGCATCCACTAGCTGATCATCGATCTCAGAATAGAGTTGTCGCCCTGATGTGGCACAAGAGACTTAATGATCGCGTTTCGATCGTGGACTCTAATGATGACAGGATTGCCAATATCAAACTCGTCCTGGATGTTGAAACACTCCATGTCCTTCAAGTTTATCTTCCTTCTTCAAGATATGACACGGATTTATTTAACGAATACATCCAAAAGCTTGACGAGCTGTGCACGACATTTCCCCTGTATGGATATGTAATTGTCATAGGGGATTTCAATGCCCGTTTGCATGGCTCGCGTATTCCCGGGTATCAAGACCAACGCGGCAGGCTTCTTCAAAATTGCCTTGACCGTTTACTTAAGCATTGAACTGTTTTTGTATGGTTTTTATGATCTATTTGAATGACACAGCTTTGCAAGCAAACAAATCATAATGCGCTATCATTCAAATAGATCATAAATACCATGCAAAACAGTTCAATACTTATATTTACGTTTTCTCTGCCTCTTATGTTCTTTTTTAACTGACAATTTATATTTAAAATTTAAAATTCCCGCCTTATCTACAGTCCACACAAATTCGTTCAATAGTTGGAACGGTGTGTTGTCGCGTGCTGATTGGCAAACAAAGTAGTACTTTGAAATTTTAACAAACATTTCAACTTTATTCCACAATTCAGTATCAATACAATTGCGTACACTATGTCTATAGGGTGATTTCAGTTTATCAATAGAACTCTGAGCTGAAAGTTGGATTTGAAATTGTTTCGATAATCCCCCAGAACAAATTTCGCGCATGGATAAATACAGTGAACACCGTAAATCCGACCTTGCCCTCCACGAGAGAGTTATTATTGGAAGTTAAATGAGCAGAGAAAAAAAGTTCGAATTTGTGAAGAATGTATGGGAATCTGACTACAGTCAGCAGATTCTACAACAGCCTCGTTATTTGTGTGTGCGTGATCTTGCGACGGAACACAGGGGTTCGTTACAAATGTCTGAAATACACATATACCTTGTGTATGTTTATTTGTGCTGTGATTCATATCAGTAGGTCTTTAGCATATGTGACAGAAGGTATTTCAGACATTTTTAACGAACCCCTGTTGATCAGTGCAATGTAACAGACGACATTTCTGATAAATTGCATGAGTGTTAAAATTGTTTTCATTGCCGGCATTTGTTATTTCAACCGATGTGCATTTTGTAGACCTTGGCCTTGTTTTTGTTGTAATGAAAGTATTTTATTTTTTCTTTTGCACATTTACATTGTCAAATCTCGCAATGCCCAGCGATATTTCAGCAGCCGTCATGTTTGTTTACATTGGATATTGTACATGTTGTTCCGGTCGGTGTTGTATTAATACGCTAAGAATTATGTCTCGTGGTGCATGGTTTTTAAAGTTCCATCAACGACACATCTTTCAAATAGCCTATATAGTGACAACGCCATGCAAATATAAATATAGTTGTTTGCGCTGTCAACCTTCAGCCGCTGTAAAGGTCCATTACAGTCATATGTTCATTCCGAGGATGGTCCATCTTCCCTCATTGATCATATTATCATCAACTCTTCTAAATTAGACTTCGTGAGTGAATGTTCCATTTTGGATGGCGATTATCTTGACGTGTAAAACCATAGGCCGTTGGTTTGTGAACTGGTTTTCCTGGTGAAAATTATTGTGATAAACACACACGCATCTCGTTTAAATGGGTCGCCACGGGAGCCCCAAAAAATGTTGACAGCTACCGGGACGATCTTGTTTCACGTATCAACGGTTCCTCTTGAATACCTTAGTGAATCTTGATACTACAGGATGAAGTTGATACTCACGCCAGCCTGTTACATGTTTACTGAAATCATCAGAATGTACCTTGCCGAAACGTATTTTTTTTAATTTTTAAAACCCTATTTGACCAAAAAGCTCAAAGGTCTTCGTCGAAACATGTGGAGATGTCGTCAGGTTTGGGTCACTCAAGGTCGACCGCGGGACTCGGACTCAGTCACATTTCGAAACTACAAATATGCGAAATGCTTATTAAGGAACAGACATAGACAGGTATCAGAGATTCACACTGTAGACTTAAACAACGAAATTGAAAGCTGTGTTGATGTTAATAAAACGACGTTCTGGTCTCTTATTAGAAAACGTTGTATTAACACTTCGGGGTTTGCTGGAGCTAAAATGAAATTTAATGGTGAAGTTATAAGAGATCCTACTCGCCTAGCACTCCAATGAGGAAAATATTTTGCAGATATTTATTCCGAATCCTGCAGTGAAGATTTTGATACACAATTTAAAGCAATAATCTATGAATCTGTTACAGGTATTCTGTGTAATCACGACTCGGAAAACGACAGCTTTGATATTTTTTCTTTTTATGAAGTTCAGTGCATCTGCAAAAATCTCCCTGTCGGCAAAGCAGCTGGGTATGATCATATTGTTTATGAACACTTGATATATGCTAACGACACCTTATACAACTGTGAATGCATTCAATATGTTAGAGTATGTCCTCACAGAAGGTATGTATCGTGCCATTTCCTTACTACCTGTTATTTCAAAAGTGTTTTATTCTACTTGTGCGACTGGATTCAACAAATATCTCTAAGATTAATCCGTTACAAAACGGTTTTTAAGAGAACGTCAGTAGTACGATGACTTCTTACTTAGTCCACGAGTCTGTTTCGTATGCTTGTGACAATAACAGTAAAGTGTTTGCTTGCTTCCTAAATGCTTCCAAAGCATTTGACTGCGTATGGCATAATGACATATTTGTTAAACTCGCCGGGTTTATATCAAAGTATAGTCATAGTATTGCTCCTTTTATATGAAAACATGTTTAGTGCTGTTTTGCACCAAGGATTCGTTTCCGAGTGGTTCAAAGTCTGCCAAGGTACGCGCCAAGGAAGCATTATCTCCCCTTGGTTATATACAGTATTTATTAATGATTTGTTGAATGATTTATGCGCTGCAAAGTATTCATTTATTATTCAAAACATTAATGTAATTTGTCCAACTCAAGTTGACGATATTACGTTGTTATCTCTTTTTTAAAACGTGGTCTGGATGATCTCATGGATATCTGCTACACTTACAGCTGTAAATGGAGATTCAAATACAACGCGTCTAAGTCTGTTGTGATTGTCATTAATGAAAGTAAAATGCTTTCTCAAAGACGACTCGGGAGTTGGTTCCCCGGCAATGAAGTCGTCTCAGAGGCTGATGGGACAAAACAGGTCGGCATCTTCTTGAACAAATTCAAACCCGGCTGTCAAGACATCGATACGATTGTGAACAAGCTACGTACTCAATGTTTTGCCCTACTCCATTAATTGTAACCTTTTCGGTACTGGGATCAATCCAATAACATGTGCAAAGTTACATAAGCCTATTGCTTTGCCTAGAAGCCTCTTTGGCTGTGAACTTTGGTTTTCTCTAACAGAAACTGAATGGTCTCGTATTGAGACTGTACATCACTCATGTGCAAAACTCATTCAAAGTTGTCCCCGTCGAACTGCGCATTATTTGTAATTGTATTAATTTTCTTATATCTAATGTTTATTTAAAATATGTATTTCATATAACTCTTCATGTTTGGAGGAATAAAGATATGAATGATCGAATGAACTGTCGCGACATCTGCAGCTGGTTCAGAAAACGTGCGGACTTGAAGGCAGTAGCCAAGTGATAAAGGCGTCTGACACTCGGCTACCACTAGCCCTCTACCACTGGGTCGCGGGTTCAAGACCTACGTGATGCAGTCGCTAGGTACTAGCCGTAGGTCGGTGTTTTTTCTCCGGGAACTCCGGCTTTCCTCCACCACCAAAACCTGGCACGTCCTTAAATGACCATAGCTGTTAATAGGACGTAAAACACAAACAAACCAAAAACCAAACAAAAATCGAAACAAAAATATTGGTTACTCTAAAATGTATACTGTATCCTGCATATATCATCGCACGTGAAGTTACAAGATGAATAGAATGTGATATAATTATGTAGTTATATGGGATATGGATAGTCTACCCTCGGGTGCAGAATTCGGGTCAGACCGAGGCTTTCCGGCCGTCGTGGAAGACTTTTGTGTCTTAAGATCACTGCCTGTGTATTTATTTTTATACAAAGTAAATACTTGTATAAACTATGTTCATGTCCAATATTGATTTATCATCAAGCTCTACTATTTGATGACAAAAAAAGTCGTGTTGATCCAATGATTTTTGGAATCTTAAATGTCACCACATCGAGTACTAGGGTTGATTTGCTACCAAACAGATCAGCTCGTTATAGTGAGCTAGCGATAGTGTCGGAAACGTAAGTATAATGCTGAAAGCCCAAACACGTACTCATTTACAGCTGAGTAGACTGGAACAAGCGGAGTAAAGTATCTTGCTCAAAGATACAACACAGTGTCGTGCCGTGACTCGAACCCGCAACACTTCGGGTTAACCGTATGTCATCCCTATGACCCGGGATTTCGAGAAATTAGTCGTAAGAGTCGACTAAAACCTTTATCTTCTATCCGATGTCTTTAAGTTTATGGAAACAAACACGATGCGTATCAGATGATCCCTCGTCGTTGTCTTCTCTGAAAACAAGAGAACAAGGCAGCAAAGAGAGAATACAAACTAGCCCCAGGACTGGACCTCCCTGTTCATGACGTAATCGCCACAGGGGCTCGTTGTTTCCATTGGAAGGTTCGCGAGGAACAGGGGCGTGTCAGCACCTGTAATATAAGGCAAATCAATCTAAACAGCACTGAAATAAAATTAAACTGTCATTCAAATTATGTCAAATGCGTTTTGATTTCCATTGAAGTTTAAAGAAAAGGTTTTTACAAATTCGTTTTTTCATTTCTAAATGATGTTTGCTCGCTCTAAATGTTAACACATTCTTTTTTTTATAAGCTAAGACATAATAAAGATTAGTGACGTCACTAGGATGTGTTGTGATACGGTGAGATCTGATAATGATTACTGACGTCACAAGGTTGTCTGATGAGATATGGTGAGACCTGATAATGATTACTGACGTCACAAGGATGTGTGATGTGATACGGTGAGACCTGATAATGATTGCTGACGTCACAAGGATGTATGATGTGATACGGTGAGACCTGATAATGATTACTGACGTCACAAGGTTGTCTGATGAGATATGGTGAGACCTGATAATGATTACTGACGTCACAAGGATGTGTGATGTGATACGGTGAGACCTGATACTGATTACTGACGTCACAATGTTGTGTGACGGGCAAGTACAATTTGATGATGATTTCTGACGTCAAGTGGTTGTGTGACCTGATCAGGTACGACTTGATAATTACTAATGATGTCGTATGATCGGTGACGTGATCAAGTATGACATGAAAATGATCAGTGACGTCAAATGGCTGTGTGGACGCGATCAGATGTGACCTGACGTCGTGTGCCTTTCTTATGTTATCAAATGCAACATGATAATGATTAATGACGTCACATAGTTGTTAGATGTGATATGGTGCGTCCTTGTAACATCTTTTATTGACTTCATATGGCTGTGTGACATGATAAGTACGACATGTTGATAAAAAATGACGTCATAAGGTTGTGTTACGTGATCAGTTAAGATCCGATAATGAATAATGACGTCACACGGTTGTGGAAAGTGATCTGATTAGAACGATTAATTAATGACTTATGACATCAGGTTGATGTGTACTGGATCAGGCGAGATGAAAGGTTTTGGATATGTACCCTGATCAGGTGATGCTGTCCCTCGGTGGCGCGTCATGGCTGTGCTTATAAATCCAGGACAACACTGAAACAGACAGATCCCCCTTTAACTATTCCGTCTTTGCGTATTGCAGAGTTATCTTCTCTTGTGAGCAGGTATTGATTGTTACGTCATTGGTTTGTGAGAGTAACGTCATCAAGAGAAGATAACTCTGAAATACTTAAAGACGGAATTGTCTCCCCTACCATGTAATTGACATTGTTTCAACAATTTTGATAACATTTTTACAACGTTAATTTAATTTCAGATACTAGTATAAAATTAGTATTATCTAATTTTGTGCTAAGAATGGTATCATCAACGCGACAATCAAACAACATACTAAACAGAAATATCAGTAATAATGATAATACAACATTTGATATAGTGCCCTATCTAGCTAACAAAAGCCACTCTAAATCGCTTTACAGTACATAGATATTTAATTTACACAATTAGCATATACATTAATCAATACAATTTTAAGGACTTCGCAGGAGCTGCCTTATCAGGCGCTAACTACTAGTCCTATGCCACCTGGCTAATATCTCCCTGTGTGTGTATGCCTGTGTGAGTGTGTGCTGGAGATGTAATGTGTTATAATCAACTTACAGAGACTTTTGAAAAAGATATGCAAACATAAATCGTTTCAATATGTGATAAACGTACACTTACGGCATTAACTACTATGTCCGACCGGATGTCCGACCGGATGTTCTGGTGGAACTCTCGTTGTTGAATGAAGGTCATTACTGTGATCCCTATTTTAGACACAGCATACGGAGTGATAGGCCATCCCTCCTCTACCTGTGTACCAGACTCTGTGGCTCTGGAATCAGAATTTGAAATAATCAGACAGGTACATTGTACTTAGCCTACTTAACCTGCGAGATATGTAGCCTCCTCTATGACTCGGTAGCATGACCCCAACCGAGGAGTAAGGGGATGAATTCATTGGTGTGTGAAAAGTCCGAGGATTGACGCGGATATGTCCCAGACAGATCGGACGAAATAGAAAAATCTAATTTTGGGTATCAGGTAGAACATTCCTGTCTGAGGTGCGAAAAAAAAATATCTGGATAATTGTGTAATATTTACTAATTAATCACAAATAAAAGATTATTTATATAACCAAGAAAAACCCTACCTAAACATTTTCCTTTTTTTTCCAAAAGACAAAATACTAACAAATTATGCTTCTGTATTACAAAAGTTTTCGAATATCCACTAATGATAATGATACAGACCTGCCTCTTTTGTATTGGATTCCGAAATTTTCGGAGAATCCTTAAAACAACGTTTAATCGCTGATTCTTTTAGTTGCTCAACCGAGCCATTATTCAAATTCCTCACTACCATTCTAAGTACCGTTAAATCAGGGTTGCAGTTGTATTGAGATTCTTGAAATATTGGAATGGATACCTCGTTATCAGTATAATGTTACCGAGCGGAATGCTGTGCTTGGTGCCTTAGGCATGTCATTTCAGTGAGAAAGTACTACAAAGTCGGCTAAGATTCGCGCTATCTCAAGGAGGCAAGCACGACAATATACCCTTCTCCTGCATACACACACGCAAGCACGCATATATCACACACATGGAGGCACGTCCTTAAATGACCTCAGCTGCTAATAGGACGTTAACAAAATTAAACAAAACCGTGGAATAAAGGGTTTGTGGATTCTGAGGAATTCAAAAGATATTTGATCAATCGTGAACATCCTCCTCTACAACTGTTTCTTCTATTGAAACTTTTGACTTTTCGTCCCTTTTCTTTCCGATTCCTCACACCAAACTTAAGGAACGTCTACATTCTCTTATTATGAGAGTTAAGAAAGGCGAACGGTGATATTATTCTGGAGCACAGTGGACAAGATTGTGGTAATGATTGAGTTCCTGGTTGACAATATGTTTGTGAAGTTCGGTGATTTTCCAGCAGACTGTATGTATTTATATGGGAACACACTGTGCCAGCTAAATTTAGTGATGAGCTTATCAGGACTGTTGGTAAAAATCTTGCCAGGTCTTTCAATTCAAAATTCAGATATATCGACGTGGAGCTATCTGATCTGCATAACAAAGATATTAATTGACATCATCGACCGTATATACCCTCCACAGCTTGAAACCAATGACACCACATACTCTACTACTTCAACGGCTTTCATCGATATTTAATATCAACATGACAACAGGGACAGCTAACTAATAAGCTGCACGATACCTTTCAGGATGTTTACATGTTAAAGTTAATTCGGTGCTCTTCTTGAATAGCCTGTCTTATTATGTCTCCCCTTCGAATGAAAGGAGACATTTTGTACTAGTACTGGTTCTTCTTCTTCTTCTTCTGGTTCTGGTTCTTCTAATCGAACTTGTCCGGGCCATAACTTTTAAACCGTTAAAGATATCTTGATGAAACTTTAGGTATGCATGCATCACTCACAGGAGGTGTGCAGTGCACTAGAATTAGGTCACTATGACCTTCATCTCAAGGTCATAGGTCAAATAAGTTCACATTTTCAGTAAATTCTTGTCCGGCCCGTAAATTTCATACCGTTAAAGATATCTTGATCAAGCTGGGAGAATATTTGCATCACCCACAGAAGGTGTGCAGTTCAATAGAATTAGGTCTTGTGGTTCACTATATACAGAGTAATAGCCCTTTGTTTAATTTTAATGCCGAAGTTTGTCCGGAGCATAAGTTCCATGTTCTTCATCTACGTTGACCATACTTACCATATTAATGAATCTTGGGAAGGCGGAATTTCTCGCACTAAAATCAGATTTTATGCCCGACTTTATAAACAGTTATGGCCCTTTGTTTATTTTTAATACCAAAGTTTGTCCATGGCATAACTTCTAAACCATTAAAGATATCTTAATCAAACTTGAAGTATACCTGCATCACCCACAGTTCTAGTTATCTTTGTACTTTTTCAAGGTTTGGTTTAATTTTGTTTAACGTCCTATTAACGGCTTAGGTCATTTGTGTATTTGTCAACATGAGACAATTATAAAGATACTCTTTTACATGCATATGTGATTGGGAAGTCAACATGACACATTTATCCATATTTTTTTATGTGTAATATATTAGTCCACATGTCGCAATTTACCAGATAATATTTTAAGTAAAATCATATTGTTTGCTTTGTCCGCAGACACAACTACCTAAGCATCGTGTAGTTTACACATCGAATCAAGAAATACAGATTTGGGATTTGTTCTCATTTCATATTTCAAGCATCTAATTCTTTTTTGAATGGTGGACCTGATAAATTTGACTCTAAAAGTGAGTCCAATTCGGCATGCTCTCGTTTTGACTTTGAAAGTAACTCATCACCCCTGAAATGTCATAATGAACTATTCCAACCTTTTAATTGGAAGAGCTCAAATGTGTTTTCAGGGGTTAATGAGTTAACGTTCCAATGAATAGAAGTCTTAGAGTAAGTAGAGTCTCTCGGTACTTAGAACGTTTCATGGAAAGCTCCCGAAGCTTGGCTTAATGGGTAATATCTAGATCGCCAGTGACGTCATGTCCAGTCTGACTAGAGTAGCCACGGGACATGAAGCAAGAACGTGGATAAAATTATTCAAAGATCATTTAAATTCAGCCGCTATAAGTGTGTACGTGTAATTGATATGTTTGAAAGCTATGGGTTTAGGATAACTGCAGGAACTTAACGGGGTGCTTTTGTATCTGAAATACCTTGGTAAGTTATCTTTAACAGACATTTCGTGTAGCCAGTTACTGGTGTAAATGGCATCTAACACTTCGTTGGCGAATTCCATGAAATCCTGCGTTACCGGCCCTATAACCACGGATAGTAATTTGTGAACCGCTTTGAGACGACCTCCGAACTGGGTTGCGATACAGCGGTAAATTAGAACCAAGAATTATTATTATAAGTTCGAACAGGCTTAGAGAGACGACCTTGTGTCACATCCTCAATGATTTAATGAAATCCAAAGAGAAGAAGCGAATACAGTACGGTTCGAACACCCAAAACAGTTTCTCTAGATTTTCCATCAGGTCTTTGACCGTTACATTGTGGTTTGGACTATTTAAATGTCGATCTCCATTGCTTAGTTTGCGTCTATTTTGAGTTGTGAACAAAGACGCCACTTTAATATGACTGCTTCCTAGACGTGACAAATTTCCTACAGCGTCAACTCGACCATTACATCAATATGGCGTAGCCTTGGTTGGTTGAGGTGTTTTACGTCTACACTTCACTGACGAAGTCGGTGTTCGGTCGAAGTTGCCGCTAACCAGACCCTTCGAAGATTCAAACGTCCTGCCCATTCAGGTCACGCTCCGAGGTCGGAGAGCTCCTCAGATACGGACAGGCTGTCACAGCTACTGTGGTCTACGGAACGACGTCCTTAGTGTAGTCCTCGCTGACATCCTATTAGTGGTGACGCAGCCGTGCCAAGAAGTCTTATGTTATGCTCCGCTCGTTGTCTACGGTATGGAGTACTATAAGTGTAGGGTTATTGGTTGTCTACGGTACGGAGTACTATCAGTGTAGGGTTATTGGTTGGATGGCAAAATCCTTCTACAAATGAACTGTCAGAGAAAGAATGGAAGGGTCAGGTAGTTTAAATGTTTATTTAAGTATTGGACTAATTTCCCCGTTGTTCACTGCTGGACGATGACCGTTCATTCGATGTCGTGATTTTCCTTTTGTTTCACAAACATATATCAACTGCCAAATGTAACACCAAAACATTTAGCATGGTAACTATTGTGTTGGATATGGTATTCAAATAATTCAATATTGTTTGTAACAGTTCTTTTCATTTGTTTGCGTTTAATGTCTATCAAGTGACTTATTTTGATGACGTCATATTCGTCTGAAACCACGTTTTTGATATTGTGAATTCAATCATACTCGATTTTAGAACAGATGACAGGGCTATGTAACCAACATCTAGCGCAGATTTATACACGGGGTGATCAGCTTCATTATTTGAGAGAGAACATGTTAATGAGCTTGTTGAAATTCCGATTCAGTTAGATTTAAGCACGAGATATTTAAAACCCTGCATTTGATTGATCAACATCAAAACGATTGCACCAATCATACAAATACATTTTTGTTGTAAATAAAAAATGCCTTTCACCAAGGCGGTCGGGGTTAGATTCCCCGATCAGACGTGAACAGGTATGGGGTTACCTGCCCAACCACGTGGGTTTTCTCCGGGTACTACGGTTTCCTCCCACATAAAGAACCCCCGCGCTAACATCGGGGCCAACAAGAGTGATTAATATAAGTTGAAATAACTTGTTTCATATTTGTTGCACAAATTATTATCCGTGGTTATAGGGCCTTCGCAACCAGCCAATATCTTTCTCAACTCCCTGGGGAGCATACAGCCGGTACTGCCATTTCGGCGCTCACAACTAGCATTCAACAGTTCTAGCACCGCCCAACCACGTACTCATTTACAGTTTAGTAGACTGGAACAAGCGGAGTAAAGTATCTTGTTCAAAGATACAACACAGTGCCGTGCCGTGACTCGAACTCGCAACCCTTCGGTCACGAGCCCGGCGTCCTACTACTATACTACCGTGCCTCCTGATATGACAAAACACCAAGTAATCAAGTGCATATACGCATATATGTACGTTTAAAGGCGCCATCCAATGCCCGTCCTCGGGGAGGCGTATCACAAGGGAGACCGTTGTAAAACTGCCTTTGTATACATACTTGACGTAACTGTGGATCAGCTGTTGAAGCTCTGTCATCGTAAGATTGGAGTCTGTCAACCGATCTCTCACTTGGTCACTGCACATCGCCATTGCTATTTTGGCGACATTGCTTGAGATGTTAACAACCCTGAATGAAAAGGAGGATGTATGTAAACAAATAGATTTATACAAAGTGTTAGCTTAGTAACGGTCATTGAATTTGGTGGTTTTCATTGACTAAGCGTAATGAACAGCTTTAATACAAACTTTTAAGCTAGTATTATGTTATCGTTTGTGATCAATCTTCTAAATGAGATGCCGTTATTATCTGTTATCAGCTGCCCGCTCTGAGGATCTAATGAATGCGACCAGTTTGATAGATTAGTAACGACATCTTCTCCATTTAAAAGATATTTGAGAACAAGACAAACAATAGGATGGTCACAATTGCTGTGCATTATCTGTCATCGCCTACCCACTGACTGATATTAGTGATTGATGACTTTTCCATTAGGGGCTGATTACATGAGGAAGCGACCATTCCAATCAACATTGAGCACGGAGTTGTTGGGTTACACAAGTGCATCAGGGCTTCCCCTGTTCACAGCTTTGCTGTCTTAAGACATGAATACGGATTTGAAGGTAAATATAATAAACCCTTCTTTAGCGGTCACATGACACTGAGGTAATATTTGAAATGCACACAAGTACACACGGACAGTATACGTATTAAGTTAGCCTATATACTTGCCATTCCACAAAGAAGATTCTTGGTACACCCCGTTCTCGATACTCCAGGGGTACTTCACTTTCGCTTTCTGCACCCCTGGACAATGTCATTGCAAAATTGAAGGCTCAGTGTGCGCCAACCTTGTTGGTAATTGGTTTTGTTTTGTTTAGTATTGTTAAACGCGCTATCAACAGCTATGGTCATTTAAGTACGGTCTTCCCTGTGTGCAAGATGTATGCTTGTGTTTTGGGAGGTTGCCATATGTTCGTGTTTGTCTCCTTGTGATAGCGCGGAACTGATGCCGACTTTATAGTGCTACCTCACTGAAACATACTGCCGAAGACACCCAGCAGGACCCCCCACCCGGTCACATTATGCTGACAACGGGCGAACCAGTCGTCCCACTCCTAAATTGCTGAGCGTTAAGCAGGAGTAGAAACTACCATTTTTACAGACTGGTATGGCTCGGCCAGGGGACAGAACCTAAAGCCTTCCTCACCGGGGCGAACGCTCTACTACAGGCCAAAAGTGAGGCATTGTCAGGGGAGACATTAGGAAGAAGAAAGTTGTTTAGAAAGAAGAGAATAGATAAGAACCCAAATACAGTCGCCTCTTACGATCATGCAATGGGGGCAGCAGGTACAATTCGTACGCCCTTCTTGCAGGGACCTTGTTGATGGGACAAGATGGCTTGTTTGATCCTTTGATGTACATCAAAAGAATATCGCGGTCGCATCACGGTATAAATTGACTGACTTTGAAGGACAGGTTTCAGCCTAGCAATTAGTCAGGCCTTTTTTCCCCTGAGACCAATCAAACAGCTATCTTTGTGCCTTCAATTTTGCTATGACATATTCTAGGTGTGCAGAGAGCGAAAGTGAGAGTAATCCCCGGATATCGAAGATGGGTACACCTGTGTCATATAAACTGCTTTTATTGAAACAATGTAGAAAAGGATGTTACATGTTACTTGACACGTCAATGTATAAATTATTACAAGGCTGAACTACCACGAAATGGACATGGAACCATCTTGTGATTCGTTACCCCCATTTAAGCAAATATACAAAAGAGTATATGAAAAGATTTATGTAGCACAACCAATACGTGTTATAACATGTATTGGCTGTGCTACATGAATCTTTTCATAATCCATATTTACCAACACGGAGAAATTGTTGAGAAATATACAAAAGAATTGTTATTTTTCAAATGTTTTTTTTTTTATTCTAGATTGTATAACGGGTTGCAGCGATGTTGGGTTTTTTTCTGTGAAATAGTTGCGTTCCGGCACAAAATGGATGAAGGACAGCTTTGGATCATTTATTTCTTGGAATTGACATTATTTCTGAGTACAATACGGTAAATGAGCTGTTTACAATTCATTTTGTAGATGGTCATACTGTCGTGTTGTTTACATTCACCGGTCAAATGTCTTCCCCATCGTTCTGAAGGACTTCTCCTTCCTGTATAAGTTTTTTTCCGCATCGTTATATTCCCGTAGAATCATGATTAATTGTAAGCAGATCTGCCAACTTAGCCATATCTAGCCCGAGTATCCTTTGGCACTGACACCAGACCTTAGACATTTTGGCTATCTGTCAAAATGGCTTAGTCTGGTGACAGGGACAGAGGATATCTAGATTTACCTAACACCAGAATAAAAACCAACAGGAGAGTGTGAGAATTACCGTAAATTCCTCAAGCATATATCATATGTATCTTAAGACTAACTGTACTTTTTCTTTTTAGATAATCGGTAGGAACGATTGCAGATTTCTCTCCGTTTACTTTCTTTATTACTGATTTGCAAAAAGTGATTTCGAATGTACATCAGAATATATTTAAACCGACACTACCATACATTTCATTGCAGTATTGGCCGAATAATTCTACATTTATCGGAAAAGTAAAAACAGTTTGCATTTGATGGAGTTGTTCAGAATGATAAACTTAATGTTTAATGTTACGATTGACGGTAAACAAGTTCTGTAATGACCATATATTCGTAAATACCTCGAATGTGATCTGAGTAACGGGAAAAGTATTTTGCACACGTGAAGCGTGCCGTAGAAGTTTGTCCTGCACGTCATTGCTGCCTGCGTGCTGAACGATTCCACATCCTTCGACTGAAATGAAACAACAATGTTTTAGTATCCTAGATGACACAACATTATGTGATAAATAATTTTATTACATACTTACTAATAATACGACACAATTGCTCTATCATATCAGCCCTCGCCGTATGACACCCCAAAACCTATATCAGCCCTCGCCGTATCACACCCAAAAATCCGTATCAGCCCTCGCCGTATCACACCCAAAAATCCGTATCAGTCCTCGCCGTATCACACCCCAAAACCCATATCAGCCCTCGCCGTATCACACCCAAAAACCCATGTCAGCCCCCGCCGTATCACAACCCAAAACCCGTATCAGCCCTCTCCGTATCAGCCCTCTCCGTATCAGCCCGTAAAAACCAATATCATACCCCTTTTGGAACATTTCTAATTTTTCCCATCTACCACCAGCAACGTCATTCGAAGCCATTTGTTTACCAACAGTTCAACAATGGCTGATTTAATATTTCAATAGAAAGTAGATCCTAAGATAGTAGATCTATCTCGACCAATATCAGCCCTCGGGCGTTCGGCCCACGTGCTGATATCGAAGTCTTGGGTTGATACTGGGTGTGATAAAGAAAAGAAGTCATGTATTATTCTCTATTTACTAGTGATGACTACACATTTTTATGCAACATTTTCATTTTCTCAGTAAATCGCTAATTCGCCACATTTTACTGGTGCAATAGCCATCAATATTGAAATTCTGATGAAACACGTTTTCCTACATACCGTATATGCTATCCCTGCGTTATTCACCAGTATGTCAATATTTCCGTAGTAATTCTTTAGAAATTCCCCCAATTTTTCCACTTGGCATTTGTCGGTTATATCCAGCTGGTAAAATTTCGGATCTAGTCCTTCCCATCGAAGCTGGCTAATCGCATCTTCGGCTTCTTCACTATTGAGAGCTGTTCAAAAAGTTAATTGAATAATGTATTAAGTAAGTTCTTGCCTTCCTGTCCCATATCTGTTATCAGGCTGTGCTTGTGTGTCTTGGGGAATTTGAATAGTTTTCTAATGATATACGGAGTGAAATTACATGTGTTGGCAAAGTAGAAAACGTAATAAATTGTCTTCCTTTCCATTTTTCATTACCTATAGGAATTTTGGTAATTATGTAAGCTTTCGATTTTTGGGTAGTATTTTACGAAGTGAAGTGCATCAGATTGATGATTGTTCTTCCATCAGCTTTGTGTTATATATATGCATAGGCCTGTATACATTTACGTACCTGTCAAATACACGTGCCCACGGAATGTCCGGCACAAACCGCGGACAATGGCCAATCCCAGTCCTCGACTAGCACCAGTTACCTGTAAATGGTGTTATATAAATGTGTAAAGACATGTCATAGATTTCGGAAAATCATTACAATTTTACCTCACAAAATATACACCAAAGAAATGTCGCATTTGTTTACCCCGAAACCGTACATCTACCCAGTCTTTAGCTGTAGAAGTTAGAAGGTATAATAATCTACCTAGAGAACGGAGATATTGTAAGCAGTGTAACTACCCCTCTGAAGTGGAGGACGATTTTCATTTTTATTAGTCTGTCCTCAATTCCAAAATCTCATTTCCCGTTTTATCGAAAGCTAGTATTGGAAAAAAAACACCATCTGTGTTTAAAGTCTTTCATTTATTTAGTGTCCATATTATTAAAGAATTGTGTATACTAGGAAAATTCATCTATGAGGCAAACAAATTAAGGGTATTATAATGGAATAAGATTGTCTTCATTCTCTGTACTTTGACCATGAATGGGGATATATGCATTATATTTACATTTGCATGGCATTGTCACTATATAGCCTCTTTGAAAGCTGTGCCGTTGATGGGACTTTAATTACCATGCCGCACGAGCCATAATTACCATGCCGCACGAGACACAATTCTTAGCGTATTAATTACAACACTGACCGGAACTACAATATCCAATGTAAATAAACATGACGGCTGCTGAAATATCGCTGGGCATTGTGAGATTTGATAATGTCATTGTAA